AAGGATGCGGATGAGAGCAGCGATGGGGAGGAGGAGGAGGCGGATACGGAAGCTGCTCTCGTCAAGGGCGGCAAGGGGCGCGTGGGCGGCAAGAGGAAGAAGGATGCGGATGAGAGCAGCGATGAGGAGGAGGAGGAGCAGGAAGCTGCAGCAGCAGCAGGCAACACCACGCCCCCCGCCAAGACCACTCGCAACTCGGCCAAGGAGGCTGACGCAGCGGCCCAGAACCTGACTCCCCGTGCGCGGCGTGAGTTGAACAAGAAGCTTCGCGACACCACCACGACCACCACCACCACCACCGCGGACGCGCCTCTTCCCACCCGCAAGCGCCGCACCGCTGACGATGATGATGATGCCACCACCACCACCGCCACTACCACCGCGGACGCGACTTCTCCCAACCAGAAGCGCCGTACCGCCCCCACCACCGCCACCACGGACGCGACTTCTCACGTCTCGAAGCGCCGCACACTCGCCAAGAGCCCCCCCGAGTCGAAGCAGCCCGCTGCTGAGGTGTCCGCGGGAACCCCGACACGCGCCAAGGCTGCTGCTGCTGCTGCTGCTGCTGTCCAGACCACCCTCACGCGCGGCAAGAACACAACCTCGGGGAAGTCCCCTGGTGTGAAGTCTTCTCGCGGCGTCGGCAAGTCTGCCACCGCCGCCGCCACCACCGCCCCCGCGCCCATCAAGACCGCACATGGCAAGACGGCTGCGTCTACGAAGCAGCACGTCCGCGGCGGACAGGTGCGCACCCCAACCCAAACCCTAAGCCCTAAGCCCTAAACCCTAAGACCTAGGCCTTAAGCCCTAAGCCATAAGTCATAAGCCATAAGCCATAAGCCATAAGCCATACAGGGGTACCTCGCTCATAAGAAACGCCAACCCCCTAGGATCACCATAGGGCCCTAGGCATAGGCCTACTGTAGGGTCCTAGGGGGTGGTGGGCATTTTTTTATGAGCGAGGCACCCCTGTAGACCATTAACCATCAACCATCAACCATCAACCATCAACCATCAACCATCAACCATAACCCCTACATAACCCTAAGCCCTAAGCCCCAAACCAGGACGGCGAGGTCCCGGCAACCCGCAAATCCCGCGACGCCTCCGGAGGAGGCAGCAGCAGCAGCATCAACGCAAACATCTTGTTCGGAGGACGTAACCGCGTTGCGCCGGCGAACTATTCTCCCTGCTAAGCTTCGGGTATTAGGCATTAGGCATTAGGCATTAGGCATTAGGCAACAACCCTCGAACGAAAATCGGCTGGGTGGCTGGGTGGCTGGGTGGTGGTATCGGTAGCGACAGAAGACCATAGTTGTCTCTGAAGCGTACCCGAAGCGGTGTGTGTGTGTGGGGTCTTCGCGTGTGTGTGGGGGGTGGTGTCCCAGAGCCGTGTGTGTGTGTGGGGGGGGTGGGCTGGCTTGTGTCTGGTGGTATCGATTATCGATTAAAGACGTGGTCCACACTCTCTCTCTCTCTCTCTACGCAGTGCCAGGCAGTGCCCCCAAGCGTGTGGGACAGAAGACGCTCTCTTAAAGACGCTCTCTTTGCCCAATTTCACGGCCAGCAGCAGCAGAAGACTTGTACATAGATGCATAGGCACACGCAAGCTCGCGTCAATAGCTTTCCGTTTATTTAAGCACATGTGTGTCCTGTAGGCACACCATACGCGTTGGTCGGTCGGCAGAACTCTAAAAACCTTGCATCTCTGTGCAAGAACACCGCACAATGGATAGCTCTACGACAGATAGGCAGTACACCCCGTACGAAGTCAACCAGTCCCAAAAGGTTTACTTCTACGGGCTCGATCCTCGCAACCTCGACGGTGTGTTGATTGACAACGATGTTGTCGCATTTGACGAAGATGGGGGCCACCAGTTGCCGTGGAGGATTACACAGGATGTTCTCGAGATCACCAAGATCCGCGAAAAGTTTCTCACTGAACTCACGCCAACTACCCACGCCGCCGGTATGTGGGTTGCAGAGAAGGTCCTCTCGGAAAACACCACACAGACGAGGTATCCTGAATGGACCATTGGTAGGATTCAACAGATCTCGTGGGCTGGCAACATGGTGCCGAAGCTAGTCATTCAGTACCCGGGTTATCAGGGCAGAAAGGTCCCCCTTTACCCGTCTGGCAACACGGTAGAACTCGAGAACGATGACAAGAGTGGGGTGGTCTCCGCGGATGAAGACGGGTGGTTCACCGCTTCCTCTGACCACAACTCGGGGATCGAGAATCTCGGCGAACCAGCGCAGCTGGTAATCTTCTCGTCGGAGCTCTTGCGGTACCACGATGAATCTGGCTTGGCCACTAGGGAGAACGAGGTTCACAAGAAACAGGTCTCGGTTAAGATACAGTCGGCTGATGTCACCCAGCGCACAGAAGCCATCCACAGGCGTGACGCCGCAATTACCTCGCGTGAGAAAGAACTCACAGATGCCCAGGATAGGTTGCAGCGCGACGTCGAGGAGTTCGAACACCACAGGTCTCAATCAGCTGCAACCAACAACGATAGTTCGGTTGAACTTGAAAAGAAGCTGGTAGCTGCGCTTGAAGCCACCAAGCAAGCAGAGACCCGGCTGCACGTTCTGCGACAGACCTTGCAGGAGACAGACGAATCGACGAGCATCACAGCCAATGAACACGTTGCCGAACTCACCCGGCGACTTGAACAGGCGGAGGCAGGTGAGACAGAGTCTGAGAAACGCGCACAGGAGCTACAGACGCAGTTTGAGCTGAGTTGCAAGACTCTCGAAGCAGCCAACAAACGCCGGGAAGACGAACTCGAGTCCCAGATCGCCCATGCCGAACACGACCAAGTCAAGTACGCTGCTATGGCAACAGAGATCCAAAACAAGGCCGAAGGTTCCGATGACGAGGAGGGTCGCTCAAGCCATGAGCGTATCGAATCCCTTGAAGCCCAGCTTCAAGAAGCTCTCGAGCAGATGAAGGAATACCAACACCGAGTGACCGCTCTGCACGAGGAGCGCATCCAACATAAGCAGCATACTGACCACCTCATAAGCCAACACGAAGAGTTTGTTGAACGCTCTAATGAACGGTCGGTCGAACTGATTAAGGCACTCGAAGAGAGCGAGGCAAAATACAGGAACATCAATGTGACTGGGGCGGATGAGGAGGCGGCGCGCGAAAGCACGTTTCGAGTGACTTCCGATCATCCAACCCTCGACACCACCGGCAGTGGTGGTGCAGTTGAAGACGCCAAAATGTCCGACTTTGTGCTGGGCCAGAGGTACCTGCAGTCGATGATAAACGAGTCGCTACCGGCTGACATGCAGACTGTTGGCGGGGGTCTTCGCGACGACATTGTACACGAGGTCATGATGTCACTAGGGAAGACCAACGATACGGTCATGTGACACGGCGTGGCCATGCTGCTGCTGCTGCTGCTGCTGCGGGGTAACAGCTATACATAACTATAGATGTGGTTGTATATAAAACTTACCAATGGCACCACCACCACCACCATAGTAGTAGTAGTAGAAGCATCAAATTTATCTCAATAGCACCACCACCACCACCACCACCACCCCGCACGAAATGACCAAGACAGGCCCGACAGCGGAGATATACCTCGCTATTCCACAGACAAGACTAGCCTCGCTGAAAGAACTCTGTGTAGAGGGCGTGGGCCCCCTTGTGCTGGACGCGTTTGCAATGCAGCTCTGGCTCATGCCACTTGTCGATAGTATCGTGGGGAGCATCCCCATGGGTGCTAGTGCCGCCTCAACCTTGTGTGTAGCTAGCGTCTTAGCAGTTGTGACGTTTGTTCTGAACGTATCTGTACACCCGCATTTGCACCCGTTCCTCGCACACTCACGTGTCGGCGACAGCCCGCTATTTCTTGCTGTGTGGGTCTACACTTGCGCAGCTGCCATTACTCGCTACACTGGCGGTGCAGGCGTGATGTCCTTCAGTATCGTGACCTTTGTACCATTCGTGTATGTACGCGTCCCGGACATACTCCCGGTCTTTGCATCACTCTACGCGTGTGTCTTTTTTGTGTTCATTGCAGCCCACAATGTTATGTCGATACAAGCCGGTGGTAGCAGATTCGCCAGCTCTCGTGTCGTGCACAAATATGATATATACAGCATGGCGATGCACTCGATCGTCTTCATATCGAGTTCGCTGTACCACGCAGTCTGGATCGCGTCACATAGATACACCTCCGACCCAGCACAGCAACCCGTCTCGTCATATTTCTTCCTTCGGTGGAGACGATGGGGCATCCTCCCAGCACTGTTCCGCGCACTTGTGCTAGTGCTCTGCATTCTAAACAGAGATGGTTCGGAAACAGCGGGTAGCAGCAGCAGCAGCAGCAGCAGCAGCGTGGCTCGCTACCAAAACCACGACGTATTCAGGTTTCTGATTTTTTTTTGTTTTTTGGCGACCATCTCGATCTACACGGCGTGGACACATTGCCAGCACCTAGACACGAATAAGCTGCGCAACATCCTCAGTGCCTCGGTCGTGGCTGCTACCTGTGGTGTACTCGCATTGGACATGGAACAGATTGCGTTTCTGTGTGTCGCAGCTCCGCTGGCCATCTGGACTGATATCACGTCGCTGGGGGTCAGTGAAAGGATGGTCGCTCGCAAGAGGGTGTAATAAGTCGTCGGTTGAGGTTGACTTACTTCTTCTGTGCAGCGGTTTCAAGAAACTATACAGACTATACAGACTATACACAAGATACACCAAACCACACACAGGCGACATCAACCCATACACAAGATACACCAAACCATACACAAGATACACCAAACCATACACGGAACTTTTCCTGTTGCAAACTCGAGATGGTGCTGCTGTTGTTGCCTGGATGGATACATGCAAAAAGATGATAGACATGCTGGGATTTGAACCCAGGGCTAGGTGTCATAGGCACCGTGTTTTGCCGCTAAACTACACGTCCGGTGGTGTTGTTGTGGGGTTTGAACCCACTGCCTCCTGTAGCCAAGAACGAAACACCAACCACTATCCCACAGCCCCATGCGGGCGGAACTGTCGGTACTATCGGAAAGATGTGGCGGTATATGGTGGGGGTACGGTGTCTGTGTGGGAATGCTTGGGGACACGTGCGACACAACCAGCAATCCTCATAGATAGATTAAACACGATAGATAGTATTAGACACACATACACAAGTCACCCTAATCTACTCGTCGTCGCTATCATCACTCTGGCTATCATAGTTGTCGGCGGCTACCCCCGAGCAGGCATCCAGCGCGAATCCAGGTGAAGCGCTGGAGTTCATACCGTTAGTAATGACGCGCCGCGCTGCGCGGATATTCTTGCCCTCCTCCACGGCAGCCTCACGAAGAATGCGTTTCTTCTCGTCCTGGTCCCTCTTCTTGTTTTCCTGGTACTCGCGGGTGGCTGCCTGCAGAGCGACGAGCTTCTCATCGGGGGGCTCGTTCGCTTCGGATCTCTCCTGCCACTTCTTGAAGACAACCTCTGAACTTTGCAGGAGGTTGGACATGTCAGCCATGACTTCATTGTCACCCGTGATGAGCGCGAGAATAGCCTTGCGCATGTGGTGCATCTCGTACATGGTGGTTTTCGTCATGTTGTTGTTGTGGTTGTTGTTGTTGTTGCTCTTGTTCTTGTTCTTCTGTTGGTTGTTGTTGTTGTTGTTGTTGTTGTTGTTGTTGTTGTTGTTGTTGTTGTTGTTGCAACAGCTGTGACACTTGCCATGGTTCATCGGTGCGCCCACAGACATGGACAGCGTGCGACAGTTTTGAGAACGCAGGTCGGCAGCAAGCTCTGTCGGCACGTTCACCGAGATCACACCAGTACCGGTCAAGTGGCCCTTGTCCATCTTCACGGCAACGCAGTTGCCGTTGGAGGACATCGCTGCAAGAATGGGAACAGCTTACATAAACGGCTTTTATACTCTACAACCTATCGTTGCGAGCAGTTGACGACAGTTCACAACACGTGTTATTGCCGCATGGATCGAGATGGATAGACACACACACACACACACACACACACACACACACACACATACAGAACACGTGTTGTTGTTACACTGCAAGAGATCTTCAAGTTGTGCCGCCGGTATAATTGCCGACAGAGCACACGCTCCTTTCAAACACGCCACCTGCCCCTCTCAGTGACACGGTCCGCATTGCACCACAATGGCACCGAAACGCCAGAGAGCACAGAAGCAGAACCAACACAACCACCACGACGATGCAGACTACGGCCAACAAGGGCGCAACACTCGGCACAAACCTCGTGTGGAGCAAGTAGTGGCATCTGACTGGCCACCGCCTGGGGCGGTTCAGCTGGGTCCGTACATGCTTGGTGCTGGCAAGTATTGGGTCGGCGACCTGTCGACTGTTCTCGGCGACGAGGACTGGAAAGAGATTGGTGGCAAGCAGGGTGCGATGACGCTGCGCGACGGCCGCCAAGTAGTGATCTTCAAACTACCCAGCGGGGGTGGCGTGTATCCCGGAAAAGACGGCCACAACCACTTGATCGACAGCGGCACGATCGGGCTTACTCGATTGAAAGGCCTCGGCCACGAGGCAACAACAATGGGCCAAACAACGGTGTATAGCAAGACGTTCAAGTGTCTGTCAATCACGGTGGCACACCCGCAAGGTGGTGGGATGGTTTCGTTCAACACGTTTGGTGGCAACATAGAGGTGGACTCTGACGACGAAGCCTATACGATGACACAGTTCCTGCGTGAGGGAGTTGCTGCCCAGAGACGACAGGAGTTGCGTCTTCGCTCTCGCTATGTCTAGCGGTGCGGTGTGCGGTGTGCGGTGTGCGGTGTGCGGTGTGCGGTGTGTAGGAGGATGTGCGGTGGGATGGGGTGGGATGGTGTGTGTTTGCGCCAATAAACAAGATACTTGGCACACAGGCGCCTATGTGTGTGTGTGTGTGTGTGTGTGTGTGTGTGTGACGACTTGCTTGCGGTGATGATGGGGTACTTGTTGCTTTGATCTTTACACGGCGCTTGTTGCTTTATTGTCACACACACACTCACACATTCACACACTCACACTCACACACTCACACACTCACACACTCACACACTCACACACTCAAACTCACACACGCGCTCACTCGCCCGTTTCGGCGCTACCTAGACCCACCCCAACGCGGCCATTGCAATGGCTTGAACTTGTCGCATATGCTCGTCTCTCGGGTGTGTGTGATGCGACATGATCACCGACATCAACTCGAGCGGTATGGCACTGACAACAGACTGCGCACGAAGACGGCCTTGTGCGAATGCGAGGTGTCGCTGCAGCGTCTTCATGTGCGCCAGTACCTCGGCGAGTAGTAGCGACTGCGATGGTAGTGGTGGTGGAGTGGTCGCATTGTGCGGCACAGCAGCAGCAGCAGCAAGGGGGTGAGGAGCTGTGGTGTTGTTGTTGCGTGTGGACAAGGCATCTCCTTGCGAGAGAAGCAGTCGCAGCAGATCGCGCTTCGCGGGCATGGACGTAGCGTGTAGCGGTGTCACGCCCATCGAGTCAGCGGCACACACGTCTGCCCCACACTGAACCAGCAGAACAATCACCTCGACCGAGACCACTCTATTATTGGGATTTTCTTCAACCGCGTGGCGCAGTGTCGTAGCCTCGGTACGAGGATTTCGCGCATTCACGTCTGCCCCCATCGTGTTGACGAGGAATGCCACCATTTCGAGGGCCATCGGCGTAGGTGCACGCAGGGCGTAATCGAGCGGTGTGTAGCCCAGTCGAGTGACGAGAGAGACGTTTGCAGCGGCATCGTATAGCAACCTCGCCGCTGTCATATCACCCAGCCAGGCCGCCACATGCAGCGGCGTGCACCCCGTGTTAGTACCCATGTCTGCGTTCTGCCTCGTTCCTCAACAGCAGTGCCATCATCATATAGTCGCGACGCACGGTGGCAGCTCTGAGAGCAGTGTCTCTCATAGCGCCGTGTTTCTCGTCTACTCGGGCGCCATTGTCGAGGAGAGTATGTGCGTACAAGAGCCGCAGTGGGTGTGTCGTTCCCATGCAAGCTCTGTCGTATAGAGCAGGTTCGTTCTCGCGACGTAACGCGGGGTCTGCTGTGTCGTAGTCGCTGTCTCCATCGGATGAGTCCATCACGCACTGACCATGCACTGCAGGATTGGCTTTAATACAGCTGACGCAGCTGACAGATGTGGTAGAACTAAACCATTGCATTCATCTTCAACAGAACACAACAACACGTGTTTTTCGGTTCTAGAAGAAACACCACGTTGTGTACACCGACAGGACCGTCTGTGATGATAGCCAGAACCGTTATACTCTGGGAATAATACCTGTTCCATTGCAACAACGGCTCCTACAGTGTTTTCGTACGACCAGCTCTATAAAAGAAACGCTAGACACGAACAGCTATGGACCAGTTCCAGTGACATAGACGACCATGTCATTCTTCGGGAATCTGCAAGGCGGTGGTATCAAAGGCCCTGATGTAGTCATCAACGGAGATGGCGGCTCACTGCTACCGTCGTCCTCGTCGGGTATTCGTTTCTCGTCCGCCCACATCAACCAGCAGAACCAACTGCTGTCCGGCGTTACAGCCTACGATTATGGCCAGGGCAGTGTGTCAGACGACATCGCGTACCAGGTTACCCCGCACAAGATCCAGAAGATTGTGCCGCAGTTTCGCATCCCGTCGTCGCGGACCGACCAACTCGACCACGACATTCTTCTTTCACACGCAGTTTCTGACGGCGACCTCGCCTTCACGATCCGCATAGTGCACGACAGGGCTTCTCGTTTGGAGAACCATGCATACTTTGAGAAACAGAACATCACACGGGCAGTCGACCCTATCATCAACCTCGCAACTGTCAACTACATTCTGCGCGGTCTGCAGACACATATGGGGGCAAATGACGACAACTGGAAGGCCTTTGTCCTTGCAACGGGTTGGCCTATTGAAACAGACACGTACAACATGGACGACTTCAGAGGGGGTGACTACCAGCATCGCAATATCAGCTTGTTTATCCAAGACTACATCCGACCTCTCGGTGTTGTCATCGGAAGAGACAATCAAGGGGGACAGCACCAAGGTTCCAATGGGGCTGTCGATTTCCCTGTCGACCATGTTGTGACGATCCTTGTTGATGGTTTGTGTGACAACATGATGAACTTGTGGCGACGTACCGAAATCAGGGCAGGGTGTGACCTCTTGCTCGCTCTCGTTGGCGTCCAAATGCAGGACGACGTCCACAAGCCGAAAGCAGATGGCCCGACCAGTTACAAGGACGAGAACCGTAAACAGGGTGTGCTCCCATACCAGGTCTTTGCCGAGGGAGGCATCGACCCCAGCTCATATGTTGTACCGGGTGAACAGACCGAGTATGTGCTCAACCACTGGGCTCCGAACCAGCTGAGACAGTTCTTCGCTAAGAAACCGCACCTCCTATTCGAGCTCGTCACCACAACTTCTGTTGAGATCGACGAAAGCTATTTCCTCGGATACAACGGTCGCAACCGTGGGTTGTGGCACATTGCTCGTTCACAGACGTACATTCGCGTCAGTGAGCAAGCACAGAGGGCTCAAAAACAGTCATTCCGTGACGATAGTGTGAACCTCAGGGGTGGTGCCCTTCTTCAGGTGACAGTGGCTCCTACTTGGAAACATGCGACGTCTCAGCCGCAAAAGAAATTCCACATCCACCCTGTGGTGCATGCTGAACCGTTGGAGACAAAGTCAAGCATAGTTGTGGGTTCATCGTCATCATCATCGGTCGGGCCTGGTGTTGGCAGCAGTGTGTACCCCGTCGATTCACCGCTATACCTCAACGCGGCAATTGCCCGCCGCGAGCCAGCCACCGATACGGGCAACACTTCAACGGGTAGTGCGGTCAAACGGAATGCTGCTGGTGGCAGCGACGCGACCACGGGCAGTGACATCACCATGATGTCC